TTTTTTCTGGCGATTTGTCTTTATTTTAATTGAAAATCCAGTTTGGACCTGGGAGACGGTCTGTGTAGCTTCCATTCATTCTGCTGCCATTTTGGAATCTTTGATCTCATTATGCTTTATAGGCCACACACTGTTTACCTCTCTAAACCATAGCCTTCGAAACTCATTATTACAATTGTGATCATTTTCTTCAGTTTTGATTAGCATTTATTTCTAACTTTAACTTTCCATAGGAAAACAACCAATCTTTTCTAAGAATATATTCTTGTGCAGTGGAATAATACTATTTTTTAAAAAAGTAATAACACGATTGTCTAGAAATCATAACAGCATTCAAAACAATAAAAAAAAGAAAAGAAATGAAAATATCATCTATGATGACATTTGATTTAGATGAGAAAACACCTACACTATTTTATGCAGCCTTTGCATGATTCTACAATCTTTTTCATCAAAGAATCCTCCTTTGCAAATGTGAACTTACTTGAAGTTTAGATACGGTATTAATTATGTAATTCTCTGCATATCCTTGATAATCCTCTTTGCTCTGAAATTTGTTTTCTCTAAAATTATTAAAGGCACTCTAGCATCATTTTGATTAGTTCTGGCATGGTATATTATTTTCATCCCTTAACTTTTAATATATTTGTGCTTTTGAGTTTAAGTAGTTTCTTGTGGACAACATATAGTAGAATCTTATTTTTTATTTTTATTTTTTATTCGCTTGATTTCTGTTTTATAGTTGTTTGATTTAATTCATTCACATTTAAAGTGATTATTTACAAAATGGTTACTTTTTTTCTCCCACCTGATAGAAACGTAAGAGATTTTTTTTTTCTAATCATCACTGTGAAAACCAGCTGGGGCTCCTGCAGGTAAAAGTTAGAAAAGCTTAGTATTTCCCTAACACTGGTCAGTCCCCCAGGATACTAGTTTAATCTGGTTTTCACTCAGTCCCTAGCAATTCCTCAACTACTGTTCAAGTTACTGGCTCAGAAGTTTCTATTCCCAATAAGACATGTCTCTGTATTTCCCTGCCTCTCCAGTTTGAGGTGGCAGCAGTTTGCCCTATGATGTTAATTCTCTAATGGATCTCAGATTTGTTGATTTTAAGCTTGTTCAGATTTTTCTTGTTGCAAAAAATTAGAGTAAGGAATTTTGAGAATTTTTTGTGTTGGAACAGATTACCTCATGATAATTCCCATGATAGGGAATTGAGAAATTCTAGGGTGAAATAATTTTCCCAAGGTCATATAAGTTAATCTACACTCTTTTATCTGTTATATTTCATAATTTTTAAAAGTTTAAAAAAAGATCCTGATGCTTTAAAGACCTTTCCATCATCTCCCTGTCCAGTTTGGCTCAGGAGTTAGAGCACAGTCTGTGGACCAGAGAGTCTCGAGTTTGGTTCCCGCTAAGGGCACGTACCTTGGTTGTTGTTTGTCCTTGGCCCCAACTGGAGTTGTATGAGGGGCAGCCACTAGATGTGTCTCTCTTACATTGATGTTTCTTTCTCTCTCTTCCTCCCTCTCTCCCTCTATCTGAAGATAAATGTAAAAAGTGTATCCTCAGGTGAGGATAAAAAAAAAGACCTTTCCATCTTCCAGAAAAAACAAAGGTTACATAACAATAGATTTTGAGTCACATCTTGGTTAAGTTATTAAACTTGAAAGATGAAAAAATAATTTTTCATAACTTCATGAAGAAAATCAATTACATGATCAAAGGGGTAAAGTGTAGGAAACCTCCAATTTTTGTACAACCATATTCAGATATAAAACAATGGAACCATGTCTACTCATTTGTGGGACAATATATATTCTAAGGATTGTCATATTCAGTAGACCTGTCATTGAAACATGGCTAGACAGTCTTAAGAATGGGTAAATTTATAGATGAAAATATCTAGGTACTTGCCATTTAAGAAATATGTTTGATAATGATCTCTGGCTGGAAACAAGATGAGTCAAAATAAAGAGTTATAAATGTAAGAGCAATAGTGACTTGCTTTTGGTTTAGTAAAAGAATCATTGAAATATCAAATTATGACTAAGTACAATGGGAATTGTGACCACAAAAGAGAATGTAACCATCATAAACTTTGATAATATGAAATAATAATAAAACTAACAATAATAATGGGGGCAAGGAAAAAAAATATGACCATAATAATAGTCTCAGTTTTTCATATCACTGAGTCAATCAATAATGCCCTAAGCGTTTTCTTATCCTGTAATTAGAAAAGAAGTGGCACAAAAGGATTTCTTTCTGAATATCTAGAAATAAATATTTCTCATAGGGTTGGGGAAATTAAAATGCAAGTTAGAACAATATCATGGTTTTTGAGCAAGTGTCTGGGCCAAGAAAATATTTTCATTGGCCATTTTAAAAGAATAAAAGAATAACAGAAGAGGCTAATAGGTTTATTAAAGAAGAGGATGTAGCTAATAATGAAATATAAGTGTCAGCTCTTGGCAAAAGGAGAACATTTGGGAAATTAACTTATTAGGGTAATAAGTTACTACCTTTCAGAAGAAGCACTCAAATATCTATGATAAGTATGCCTCATTCATTTGATTTAATTAGCCTTTCATATTCCAAATTATTGTGGAACCAAGACACAGAAATAAACAAAGGAGATACCATTTCTATTTCAAAGAACTGGAGTCTAGTAGAAAAGAGATACTATAGAAAGAATGGGCAATTAATATATTAGTTAAGTCAAATATGTTAATTACAAAAATACAGAGACTCTTATGGGAAGGAGCAGGGAGCATTTCCTTTCTATAGTGTCAGTTAAGCTGAAATCAAATTGATGAGCCCAAACTAGCCATATCAGCCAGATTATATCTAGCCAGGTGAAAGATTTTTTTAGTTAAAGAGAAAAGCAAGGATGAAATATGTGAGGCAGAAGGAAAGTTAATCACTGTGTTTAAGACCAAGGCCTATGGGTCTGAGGAGATCTAGCAGGGAATGTCTGGCCCGTGGGCCATATAAGGCCCACAAAATCAATACCGGCTTACATCACACACCTTACCAAATTAGCCTGACCAAATATAACAGGTTAATGTTTAAGCTGATAATTTTGTATGGCCAGTGAATGAAGTTTTAAATATCCAAATGGCCCTTAGCAGAAAAAAGGTTCCCCACCATTGTAAGGTATGGAATAGGCAAATGAACTGGAAAATGAATCTTGAAGAAAGGGCCAGAAAATGAGAACAAAGTAAGGAAAAGAGCTTGTTTGATTTTCTTACATAAAGACATGTGAAAGAAAATCATTATATTGATGGGAACAAAGGTATTTGGAGAAGAGAATAAGAAAGAAGACAGAGCATTTGACCAATAACAGGAAAATTTTATTAAATATACTTCTTATCTGCATCCTCTCACCTTTGCTTTAACTCCAGCCATTGCTGTGACCATCAGCTTCTCAGAAGAACATCTCACTTTACCTGTGCTACATGTGTCTGTCTTGCTTCCTGAAATTTTCCCCAAAATTTTCAGTTCTGCCTTTTCTGTTTTATTTGCCCAAGAACTAATTCCGTGTTTTTTCTTCAGTTCCAGTTAACCATTTGCTCGTCTCCTTTCCTTAGAAACCAGTTCTTTAGCAAATTACTTTCAAATGGTAATTCTTTCTTTCTTGACTAAATCTAGTCCTTCATTTCCCAAAGCAATGAATTTTTCCTTGTTTGTTCATAAATTCTCTTTTGTGAAGCAGAGTCCTCTTCAATGGAAGCTGTCTCTGCTTGATCTCTACACTTACCTAACTGTGGATCCTAAACATCTGCCTTCCAGATGCTAGAACATATCTAGCTTTGAGGCAAAACAAGCAAATTTACAAATAGTAATCCATGTATACACGCAATTTAGTATAAAATATATGCAAAACTTCAACCCTGGAGCATTTTCTCCTGAGTTTATTTAGTGCCCTGAAACTTGTGTCTGGTGGTTATGGGTCTTGTGTCCTACTAAACATCCACATACATCTTCCAAACAAGCCTCTGAGCAATGTATAACTTCAAGGGGGTGAGGAAGAGCAAACCTATCATGTGCTCAAAAGAAAGAGAGAGACATATGCATAAATATCACTAGTGACTACCAGAATAGGCATTATGCAATATGGTTCAAATAATAGGCACTTATCCTAATTTTTCAAGCTCTAATGGCACATTATTCAGAGTTGAAAGGAATCTTAAGATTATTACAAATTTTCCTCAATTTAGAGATTAGTAAACTAGTGTATAGAGTCATTTTGTGACTTACCCCAGATCATATGGACAAGGTTTGGGGCTAACTCAGATCTGACACTCGGACTGGTATACTATACCATGTAGTATATCTGGAAAGTTGTGAAGATTGTCTGAGGATCCTTTATATTTCAGGTTCCATTTTCAAATCTGTGTCGTTGGCAACAAATAGAAATGTCCTTTTCAAGAAATTTGCGTAAAAACTCTAATCTTCTTTGCCCTGGTGGGTTTGGCTCAGCAGTTAGAGTGTCAGGCCAGAGACCAAAGAGTCCTGGGTTCAGTTCACACTAAGGGCATGTACCTCGGTTGTGGTTTGTCCCCAGCCCCAGTTAGGGTCATGTGGGTGGCAGCCAGTGTGTCTCTCTCACATCGATTTTCCTCTCTCTCTTTACCTCCCTCCTGCTCTATCTGAAGATAAATTTTAAAAAAATGTTCTTGGGTGAGAATAAAAAATAAATTCTAATCTTCAATTAAATTTTTTTTTATCCTCACCCGAGGATATTTTTTTGCATTTATCTTCAGATAAAGCGAGAGGATTAGAGGGAAGAAGAGAGAGAGAAACATCAATGTGAGAGAGACACACCCAGTGGCCGCCACCCACATGACCCCAACCAGGTGGGGGATAAACTGCAACCGAGGTACATGCCCTTAGCGGAAACCGAACCAGGACTCCCCAGTCTGCCAGATGCTCTAACCGCTGAGAAAAACCAGCCAGGGCCTAATCTTCAATTTAAAAAGTAATTTATTTATTAATCTGAAAATGTTCAAGATTTACTGCTGTTGGATGTCACTCTTCTTTCCCTTGGCATTGAGACTGCTGGTGGAGTCATGATTGTCCTCATCAAGTGCAATACTACCATTCCTACCAAGCAGACACAGACCTTCACTACCTACTCTGACAATCAGCCTGGTGTGCTCATTCAGGTTTATGAAGGTGAGTGTGCCATGACCAAGGATAACAACTTGCTTGGTAAGTCTGAACTCACAGGCATACCTCCTGCACCTTGTGGTGTTCCTCAGATTGAAGTCACTATTGATATTGATGCTAATGACATCCTCAATGTTTCTGCTGTGGATAAGAGTATAGGAAAAGAGAACAAGATTACTATCACTAATGACAAGGGTTGTCTGAGCAAAAAGGACATTGAGTGCATAGTCCAGAAAGCTGAGAAGTACAAAGCTGAAGATGAGAAGCAGTGGGACAAGGTGTCTTCCAAGAATTCATTTGAATCCTATGCATTCAACATGAAAGCAACTGTTGAAGATGAAAAGCTTCAAGGAAAGATCAATGATGAGGCCAAACAGAAGATTCTTGACAAATGCAGTGAAATCATCAACTGTCTTGATAAGAACCAGACTGCAGAAAAGGAAGAATTTGAATATCAGCAGAAAGAATTGGAAAAAGTCTGCAACCCCATTGTTACCAAGCTGTACCAGAGAGCAGGAGGCATGCCTGGAGGAATGCCTGGGGGCTTCCCTGGTGGTGGAGCCCCTCCCTCTGGTGGTGCTTCCTCGGGGCCCACCATTGAAGAGGTCGATTAAGCCAACTTTGAGCATAGATTTAGCATTGTTTCACAAAATACCGAAGGACCCAAATTTGTGGCAAATTTAATGGCAGTTTTAAAAGTTGAGTTGCTGTATAGTAAATAACTAGGCATTCTTAATACTTGACTATGTGCACAGGGAAAGGAAATAATGCACTTTATAAGCACTATTGTAAAGTGGAAAATGTGATGTCTTAAATAAAATTATTTGAAATTGGCACCATACAAAAAAACAAAACAAAACAAAACAAAAACAAAAGTAGGATCCTTAGAATATAATTAGTCTCGAGTAACATGTTTAGGGAAAGTGAATCAGATTTTGCAGTTAGGCCTTTTGGTGTTTTGTTTTGTTCACATTTCCCAAAGATGATAACGAACAAGTAAATTAAGATTATCCCAAGTGCCAGAGAATAATTTAGTCACATGAGGAGCTTTATTTTTCTTTCCTAGAAACACATTATTCATGCAAGTGCAATAAATAAACAGTGAGAATTTGGCAAGTCAGAATTTCTATCTACTTTTCCTAAATCTTTGATCACTTTATTGTCTTAGACAAACGTGTTTGCTTCTGTAGGTCTCAACATTTACATTTGCTAAATAAGATGGAACTATATAATCTCTAAGGTTTCTTCTAGTTATAAAATTGTTCAGCTATTACTCTTGCTATACTCCACACAAATCATAATCTAAATAAACATCAACCCGTTAAGAAAACTCAGCCCATTATCCATGAGGAGAGAGATCAAGTCTGTTTTGTTTACTGTTTTATTCCTTTTGCAAGACACATCCTTAATACAAAATGGGTGCTTATTAAATAATTAATTAATTAATGAAATAAAGTGGTAACTGTCATACCTCAGTTTATTGGAAAAACTTGAGCATAGAACCAACTTATTTGGACAGCACACCGCTTTATTTCATTTTATATCTGGGTGGGCTATAAATAAGCAATTATGATGGACATGCACTTAATGAAGATTTTACAAACCTTAATATTGTCAGAACATAATCCAATATTGGTAATACAAGCATTTCAGGGTGTTGAGATTTTTAAATTAATCTGAATGACATGTATTTGGAAAGATATGTAGGATGTACATGAACAGGCCACTATTTTCATATTATAAAAATCTCAGAGCTAAAGAGCATCTAATCAAGGATATCTTATTTGACCAAAGAGAAAACTGAAACACTCAGATGTTTCAGATGCACAAGTCCCTTAATTATAAGTGTTTGTTTACATGGTAAATTTCCATAATGCTAAATTTATTGACAGCTTGTATTCAATCAGAATTAATGTGATCATCTTATTGCAGACATATCCTTGTGTTCCATGATGATTTTCTTTAAACCTCTCTGCAAATTTAGGGCATTCCATTGACCACCAACTCTCAAATGTGTTTAAATATGGTCTCCACTCCAACAATAATAAATTCTGATGGCATTATTTACTTATAACACAACAACCCAGTATGTAAAATAATGCTTAATATATGATACAATCATCCCACTGGCTATTTTAGCAACCAGCAATAGTTTAGGTTCCAAACATACAACTAGTAAGAAGAGGAAAAGTTTTGCAGAGTGTTGGTTTAGTTTATAGAGAATATTTGAATTTCCCAAATGGAGACACAGAGGCTAGAGTTAGTTCTTGCAGTCAATTCAATACTGTACTTATTATTTTAAAGAATTTATTTTTTAATATTAAAATGAACTACTAATTAGAAAAGCAGATATAGAATGGCACAGAGTAGCTATCTGGCATGTGCAGTACTTCTAAAGAGCTTTATGACTCTTAGAAACAGAGTTTGAAATGTTCAATCTTGGATAGTCAATAGTTATGAGAGATATCAATTTATGACACAAAAAATATCCATTTATTATACAGTTATGGAATTTTATATCCTTGCAACACTGTGTTAGGAACTGTGAGCTACAAAATAAAATTTAGGATGTCTAACTTTGTGCAATTTATACTTGAGCTCATTCTTTTTTTCTTTTGCTTTTAGTTTGTTTATTTATTTTTATTATGAGGACCAGACCCTTTAATTTACCCAATGCTGATTTAAAAAGAAGCCGGATTCTGGCCCTGGCCGGTTTGGCTCAGCGGTGGAGCGTCAGCCTGCAGTCCGGAGAGACTCGGGTTTGGTTCCCGCTAAGGGCACGTACCTCGGTTGTAGTTTGTCCCCGGCCCTGGTTGGGTCGTGTGGGCGGCAGCCACTCGATATGTCTCTTTCATGTCGATGTTTCTCTCTCTCTCTCTCTCCCTCCCCACTCTATCTGAACAACAACAACAACAAAAAGGAAAAATGTCCTCAACTGAGGATGAAAAAGAAAAGCGGGATTCTGAACTCATCTGTATGTTTATCTCATCTCTTCATTGTGTTTTATTTATTTTAAATATGTTTTCAATGACTTTTTAGAGAGAGAGAAAAGGAGAGAGAGAGAGAAACACGATGTCAGAGAGAAACATCCATTGACTGCCTACTGCGCCCCCTCTATTGAGGATTGAGCCTACAACCCAGGCATGTGCCCTGACTGGGAAGCAAACCAGAACCTCTCAGTCCTTGGAATGACACTCAATCCACTGAGCCACACCGGCCGGGCCCCAAATGTGTTTTATAGATTTGACATTAGTGATGATTATCATGAATCAGTCCACACTAAGTAATTACCAGAGTTAATTTGAAGACCCTAAAATTGCATACAAGGTTTTGTGATTTACATCTACATGCATTTTTCTGGAGAAAGAAACTTAACTCTCCAAACAATGAACATCCCTGCTGCTGTAAATATATAAGCATTTTGATGTGATGTCTCAGGTCAGCAAAAGCAAAATATTGAGTGACTCTAAGTACAGTGAACTGAACAGTATGGTAATAGTTATTTTTTCTTTTGAGGATAATCACCATTGGAGACTAAGTCATTTCATGCAAGACAAAAATATAGATTCTGCCTTAAGTTCCTCTTCTCAGAGTGCAATTCATAGTGTTTAAAAATTATACCTGATGCATAAAGATAAATTGACTTCTTTTTCTTTTTTTTTTTTTTTTTTTTTTTTTTTTTTTTTAGTGTGTGCCCCTAGCGGGAACCGAACCAGGACTCTCTGGTCCTCGGGCCGATGCTCCAACCACTGAGCCAATCCGGCCAGGGTGACTTATTTGTCTTTTTAAAGTATAACATTCTTTTTGAACATGTCTAATGAGATATAATTCACATACCATAAATTTCACTGACTTAAAATGTGCATTCAAATGTTTTTAGTGTACTGACAGAACTGTGTAACCATTGTCATTGTCTCATTAGCAGCCTTTTCCATTGTTCCTCTCCCCAGCTCTTGGCAACCACTAAACCTACTTTCTTTCTTGCTTATTCTGTATATACCAAATAAATGTAACTGTGTAATATACGATCTCTTGTAACTGACTTGTTTCATTCAGCATAATCTTTCAAGATCCATCCATGTTCTATCAAGCATCAGTAATTCACTACTTCATTACTTTTCTATTGTTGACTAGTATTCCACTGTAAGGGTGACCGGTTTTGTTTATCCATTCATTTGTTGATGGACATTTGAATTATTTCCACATTTGGGATATTATGAGTTATAATGGTATAATAGCACACTAATGTATACCTTTTGTGAAGATATGTTTCATTTCTTTTGGGAATGGGAAACACAGGACTGTAATTCCTGGGTATATGGAAACTTCAGTCATAACATTTTGAAATACTGCATCAGTTTACATTTTCACCAAAAAAATATGAAAGTTCCAAGTTCTCCATATCCTCACATTACTCAACAGCTGTCATTGTCTTTTTTTTATTATTATCATTATTATTATAGACATCTTAATGGTGTAAAGTAATATCATTGTGGTTTTAATTTGTATAAGTTCAATCATTTTTTTCATTTCAAATTTTATAAATAAGATGCTGTCTATATAGAGTTATATGAATAAATTGAATCCCAGCTTCCAACCCAGTGAACTCATCACTGAACTTCAAAGATCATAAATATGCAGAACAGTTGGAGATTTACAGTTTATGTTTTGCTTGCTGAAAACACAACTTTTTTTTGTTTTGTTTATTATCCTCACCCAAGGACATTTTTCCATTTTTGTTCAGATACAGTGGGAGGGAGAGAGAGGAAGAGAAAGAGAGAGAGAAACATTGACTTAAAATGAACACATGGAGCAGCTGCCTCCCGCCCCTGGGGACAAACTGCAACCGAGGTACGTGCCCTTAGCGGGAACCGAACCCGGCTCTCTCTAGACCATGGACTGACGCTCTAACTGCTGAGCCAAACTGGTCAGGGCTGAAAATACAACTATTTTAAGTATGCTACTAAAATGTTTTTTCTACAGCAGCTTGTTTGATTTTAACAATAGATCATGCCTAGAAAATAATAGTAGTTCTTTCCTTTGGCCATTCTCTTCATTTTTGAAAATTTCAAAATATTTCATTACACAGTGATATTAATGTGTTATTTACAAAATTGTAGATTTATATTCTTTTCTGAATAACTTGTTTTATTCATAAGAAATAATATCTTTATGGTACTTTCATCAGAACATTGCTTCAGATTGCTTTATAATTTTCAAAATCATAAAGGTTCCATTTCAGCTTAACTTTGGAGCCTGCTGAAAGCGTTTACTGCCCTATATCCTAAACACCTGTATCTTGAAAGAAACTGCTGTGCAAGGCACAGCCTACTGAGTCATTTTCAAAACACAGAGTGTAGGGAGCAGGTGTTCAGTTGTGAGTAATAGAATAAAACAAAGTTACAAACTGGGTTAGGTAGCAAAATAAGAGACATAAACTGTATTTCCAGAATCGTAGTTAAATTTGTTTCTTTAATCAATTGTCAAAATCTTTACTAGAATGCCCTATCCCTTAAAGATGAACTACACCTACCATAATAGATATCTCTCTATATGTGTTCATCTTAATCAAATTGCTGATGCATAGAAGCCATGGCAGATTACTCATATCTTT